TACCAAATTTTATTCTTTTTCTTCTTCTATTTCTTTCTTATTTCTCTATAATACATAAAATAATACATACTTTTTATTAATTATAATTTCTATGATTCATAACTATTAAATTAAAAACTAATTTATATTCAAAATATTGAAGTTTATATAATTTATTTTTTTGAAAGAAATACCTTAATTTAAAGTATAAATAATAAGTTTGTATGCCAAATTTCTCTCAACTTTTTAAATTCCTAACTTAAATGATTTTATTGAAAAATATTCTTTTAATTAATATAAGATTTAAAATTAATATTTTATAACCATGCTTTAAGTTCAAACCATAGCAATTAAAATGTAAACTATAACAACCATAGAAATACTCAATTCTAAGACAATACTAGCTAATAATTAGCCTACTCATTTTTACTTGTATTTGTAAATTTGAAATAACTTTTGATAATAAAATATCCAAATTTCAATGCTACTAACTTGGTTGAAGAATCTTTTGCATCATTTGCACATCCAACTTGTGCACCACCTATTGTTTTAAGTTTTTAACTACCTTTTTTGATAGCTTACTTTAGAGCAATTTTGTTTTATGTCTTTTAGCATCCTTATCAATCCATTCTACTTAAACACAAGTCGCTTTGATTTCCTATATATCTTATATTACTATTACCATTGAATTTGCAAATAAGCATATCATCCATATTTTTCCAAAAGATTGTAAGTATACTCATTATGTGCCCATAAATGTATACATGCAAGCTTTATAATGCCATCAACTTTAATAGGAAAATATAAAAAGTTATTAAGCTTGGCTTAAGTAAAAATACCCTCTAAGATGCTTATAATAATAAGTGGTTTATGACCTATATCATGATGAACTTAACTCATTTATTTAAAGAAATACTAATTATATTATAACTTTGATTCTAAGATATTTTTTTTATCACAATCAAGCATATATTTAATATTTTTACTTATACTAATTTACAACTATTTATATCTGTAATTACTACAAATATATGATATTAGTAATAAATTTTAAAATCCTTTTTACCAAGCCATTTTCATTGAATATCTTTTGTACAAGATTATTGAAATATATTAGTATTATTAAAATTAGTCTTTTACAAAAGGCCTTATTTAATGTTTTATGCTCTTTGAAGTAGGCTAAAGATGGATTATTCAAATCATACATTATTTTGATCATTTTTTTTATCTATAGCTCTATACAAAAAATATCACATATGCAATAAATTCGACCATATTTAATTCACATGCTTTCAAAATCCAAATACTTAATATGAATAATTAAAATATACACCTTTCAAAATACTACAAATATAGTCTTGTCTTACAATCAAAAATATATCTACTCACACTAAGATAATTGACTATAGTTTCTACAAAATGTTCTTTAAAATCTTAAATCACTCATCATTACCAAAAGAAATTTCTAGTAATTGTGTAAATTTTATGAACTTAATTACCAACAATAGATTTGTATCCCTACCATATTTGCTAAATGAAAATTTAGATTTTTATATCCTAAGAATCTCAAATATTTCTTTTATGTTTTTATACAAGAATTATTTGTATACTTGTCTTTTGCAACTCTTGGTTTTGTCAAAATTGCAGTCAAACAATTCAATGTTAAAAAAATCTTCAATTTATATGTTAATTTTATTTTCTAATTTTATTTGGTCTTTTTTAATCTATTCTTCAAATATTCATATCTTCATGAGGTTAATCATGTCATCTTCTTCTTTAACCTAGCTCTTCAACCAACTATTTCTTCTTCTTATCTTTGTCTTCTTTAACCTAGTCTTTACACATTTATATCTTTATTTTATCTTATATTTTTCTTCTTCAATCTAATCTTTAAAAATCCATATATTTTTATTTTATCATATAACTCTTATAACTTAATACTAGACCAAAAGTATATAAAATCACATACAAGCATGTCAACTATGCTCTCTTTTATTCTCATTTTTTTATATTAATATATTAGTTTAGAAAAAATAATAAAATTTGATATAAAAAACCAGCTTATAGAAGCAAGTATAAATAAGGTTAGAAAAAAATTAGAAAGTGTGAAACAGCAAAGTGATTAGCCATCCATGTGTTTAAAAGATAAAGAAGTTGAAACCACTTTGATAGTTATGGTAGTTAAAAATATATTAATTTTACTATTTTTAATTAATATGAAAATAAATTTACTATAAAAATATGAATTTTAATCATCAAAAAAAATTATAATAAAGATATTACAATTCACATTCTTGCATGTTATTTTATAAAATTTTGGTTTAATATTGAGTTGTATGAGTTGTAAGATGAAATAAAGATATACATGTTTGAAGATTAGATTGAAGACAAAGACAAGAAGAAGTTAATAAAGATATAGATGGTTGAAGATTAGATTGAAAAAAACAAAGACAAAAAGAAGTTAATGAAGATATAGATGATTAAAGATTAGGTTGAAGAAAACAAGGTATCATGGGCATGCATATTTATTATGATATTCACCTATATGATTAAATAGAAGTACATAAAAATAGATTTATTTTATAATATTTTTTAGAAAAACTTCTTAGAAGTCTTATAGATGCTACTTTGACTTTACATATATTTGTAGTTGATTGGTAGGATAGAAATTTGGTCAATAAGTTAACCACATATTGATAGCTTGTGGAGCAAGCTAACTATGTGGCGTATATATAGAAAACTTATCTTGCAAGTTAAGATACGAGTCTTGCAATGTCAACATATTTTAGAGGTCCCATAGGATATTGCCATGTAGCTTCTAGTTAAGAGTATATATGGAGACAAGAGTAAAATCTTCTTCACTTTTGTCAATGTCTTTCTAGTCCTTAGTCTTATTTTAAGACTTTCTAGTATTCTTATCTTTGGCAATAGCTATTCTAGTTTAATACTATATCATCTTTGAATGATTTTGTAGTTTTTTCAAGTATCACAAGAGTGTATTGACATTTTAGTTCTTTGAGGTTCATGTCCTTGATACAAAAGATAAGATTATGTCCATGAAGATATAAATGTTTGAAGAATAGATTGAAAAAGATAAGATAAAATTAAAAAATAAAATTAATAGATAAAATTGACACACAAATTGAAAATAGTTTTAAAGTTGAATTATTTGACTATGATTTTGACAAAGCTAAGAACTATGGAGATTTAAGACAAGTACAGAGATAGATCCTATATAGAAATATAGAAAGGATACTTAAAATTCTTGAGGTACAAGAATTTGGATGTTGAATAATATAAAATTTTAGTCAAAATTTGTTGTAAGTTGAAAAGACTTGTTTACTACCATTTAATGTTTTTAAATTATTATATCATATATCAAATGCATGTTTATAAATACTAATCTCAACATAACTTCTTATACCAAATTTAATAAATCATAGACAAAACTAGGTATTCTTAAGAAGATTAAGATTTTTTTTAACTAACTATTGTTTAAAATAACCATATATAATTCAATTTTAGTTAAAAACATTTAAAATTGAGATTGAACAAAATATTAATAGAGACACTATAGTGCAAAATTATTCCTAATGAACTTCTAGATTTAATAGAACAACAAAAGAAGAATTGTTTCAATATAGTCTTACTATACATTTATATTTATTTCTAATTAATTATAGTAGTTAACCATCTTTTTCTTAATAGCTACTTATTGTCCTACTTTAATATGATTCAACCTAACTATTTAGTTTTTAAGTAGGTTGGATATTTTATAATCTACCTTAAATATTTTTTATCAATTGTCTAAACTCTAATTTGACCTAAATTATGTGTCCAATTCTTAGGTGGTTTGGATATCTTTAATCCACCTTAAATTTATTTTTTTGGATCCTTTTATTATTTGGACCTTGCTTATTAAATATATTGCTTAATTAATTAGGTCAATTAATAACAATGAATTAAATATTAAACCTTATATTAATTAAAGAATATTAATTATTTAATTATAATATCTATTATGTAACTATGTATATCATAGAATATACATTCTAATTTTATATATAGCTTTGTATGAAATAAGATCAAAATTAATACCATGAAATATAACCAATGCATCCAATGCTTAGATAGCAATTTTTAAAAAACAAAGGACAGGGAAGGAGACTCACAGCATTTATGAGCCAGTTCTGGTTGGCCTTACTGTCTTTCACTTTCGGGTTTTAACAAGGCAGCCTGTTTGTTTTGTGCCTTCTGCAATGGCCGTAAAAAACACAACCAACAACAGAATGATCAGTAAAGGAGTGAGACCATGACAGTTCAGAGAATGCCTTGAGGCGTAGTTAGTTTCTCACACTCAAGTCAAATTCAACTGGGCTGTGTGGATTTCCTCCATCTTCTTCTCCTTCGGCACCTTGGACCCCAATTGAGTGTCTGAAGGCTGCACGGTTTTGGATGTTGCTGCGGTCTTCCCAGTCTCTGCTGCTCTTGGCAATGTTGAATGTGGTGTGTCGTTCAAGGCTGCTGTGTTCCTTCACATTGACCCTCATCGTCTCCTCATCTCCGACATTAGTGGCAGGCCGAGAAAGGACTTCGTCGTATCCAGCGAAGCCACCACCCCTTCAACACACCGCTTTTGCATGTGAATAATCGGCGTCCTAATTCTGTGTCGAAGCTTGAATCGTTTCTACATGGAATTGAATCAATGTGTTGTTTTACGCATGTAGTTTTTCATGGAGAGTACGTAGTTATAAGTAATGTGTTGACAAGGATGGAAATTGTTAAATACGACTGGTGAACAGTACGCCTTGCGGAGGAGCAGAAAATTACTCTATCCAACCGCTGGAGAGGAATGCCATTTGAACCTCAGGTACTGGCTGTAGTAGCGCATGGCAGTAACGCGCCGGTCCCACTCTGCGATCCCTTGGTTTGAACACTTTCGGCCTTCCCAGTGAATGCCTTATCCCCTGCGCCACCAATACCCAATCCCAGCCCTTATCCGGGTCACGGGGTCCGGATCCTAGCGCCATCCATTCCAAGTGTATTTGATATGCACTCTAGCACTCGTAACCTGTGGGTTATTGGTTGTAGGAGCTTGCGGGTGTGGACTATTTTGCCAGGCTGAAACTAGAGCCCAGCTGCGAGCAAGGAACTGGGTGCAGCCATGGCAGCCTCCGTTGCTTCCGCTTCGTGCAAAACGTCGGTCGCCTTGGCCTCGAACTCCAAGCTCGAGAAGGTGCAGACCATCAAGTCAGCCTCCCTTAGCAGCGCGTTCGGCTTGACGCCGGCTGCTGCTCGCGTGTCCTGCAACTTGGAGGAGAATGTGAGGAGCGTTGTTGATGGCGCCAAGGCCGCTGCTCTCGTCCTGGCCTCATCGGCCCTCATGGCTGGGGTAAGCCATATTCGCACTGGAACTGTCGATTTGCTTTTATGTGCCCCTTTTATGTTTTCTCTTCTGATCCAGTAGCCGCCATGTAACCTACCACGAGACGGATTTTAACGCAGTTTCTAGGATTTAACTCTCAGGGGCGGATTCCTATCTTCACTACCTCGAATTTCATGTTCTAGATCAGGTCGAAGTTATAGGTAACGGGTGTGGTCTGTGTTTTCTGCGTCCATGTGAGTCTTTGATTTAGTTTTGGGGGATTTTCTGTGCAGGCTGCATTAGCTGAAGGAGTTCCACAGAGGTTGACGTTCGACGAGATCAACGCCCAGACTTACATGGACGTGAAGGGGTCGGGAACCGCTAACCAGTGCCCCATTGTGGCGGAGGGATCCGGTCAGTTTTCCTTCAAGGATGGGGAGTACACCATGAGGAAGCTCTGCCTCGAGCCTACCTCTTTCACCGTGAAGGCCGAGTCGCCATTCAAGGGAGGCAGTGAGGGCTACCAGCAGACGAAGCTGATGACTCGATTGACCTACACTTTGGACGAAATCGAGGGCCCTCTGACCGTTAAGGGCGGTAACCTGAGGTTCGAGGAGAAGGACGGCATTGACTACGCCGCCGTGACCGTGCAGCTGCCAGGAGGAGAGAGGGTTCCCTTCCTGTTCACTGTGAAAGAGTTGGTGGCAGAAGGTAAACCGGAGGCATTCGGTGGATCATTCTTGGTGCCTTCGTACAGAGGATCATCTTTCTTGGACCCTAAGGGTAGGGGTGGATCCACCGGTTACGACAACGCCGTCGCTCTGCCTGCTGGTGGTGCCGGAGATGAAGAGGAGTTGGCGAAGGAGAATGAGAAGAATACTGCTGCTTTGAACGGCAACATCACCTTCAGCATTGCCAAGAGCAACACGGAGACTGGGGAGATTGCAGGAACATTCGAGAGCATCCAGCCATCAGACACTGACCTGGGGTCGAAGGCTCCGAAGGAGGTGAAGATCGAGGGTATCTTCTACGCGCAGCTGGATTAGACTTAAGAGAGTTCAGTGTATCTGGCGTGGATAGATGTCCTTGGGCTTCGCTAGGCTTTCTCTGTGATATGTAATGTTTTCGGCCCTTAAATGGTCAATTTGTCGAATTTTCATCGCTCACTGCAGATCACTCCTAATACTGATATTTCTGCGCAGTGGTATGTCGAAACAGAAGAGTGATTGTTCGCTATAGCCTGAATGGTTTCATTGACTAACGTGATGGATGTGTAGAAATCAACATCAGAGAGCGACCTTGTATAATGCATACTGGAGATCTTTGTGGAATCATAATTTCCTTTTAAGGCCCTCGCGTGAATGTACCATTGACGTCAGTGGTGAGTGGAGCTTCGGCTCTCTGTAAGTTCTCTCTGCAAATTCTTGTAGCTGCCATCTAGTAGTTCTGGAATTCGTAACTGAGCTGGAAGGCGAATTTGGCACTGGTACTTTGATAAGGCTGGACCGTCCAATTTCCATCTTGCACTCGGGTTTATCCTTACACTTGTTTCGGAGCATTCATGAAGATGTTCAATTCCATCTGGATTTCGAATTGATCAACAAATGAGATATTGGTTGCGTGGTCTAGAGGTGACGTTCTTCTAGCTGAATTTATCCTTGGTTAGAAATCAAGGATAATTTCAGCTAGAACAGATAGGTGTGCGGTGAAATAGAGTAGCCCCACTGAATCACCAAATGCTCGACGGGTGAGAAAGGTCCTCACATTGAGCACATGGGTGTCACTGACTCGTGCTGCTGTGAGAATAACACTTCTCACTAATCCCAACACACTCATCAGCAATCACCTAGGAGAACCACTACATATTTCAGGACAAGACTTTCTGTACAATGCAATAGATGTTTATCATTCTCATTTTCAGTGTAGTGGTCTAACCAGCCTGGCTTTGAAGATCATATGCAAATGCGAGGATTGCCAAAATGCAGTCACTCATTTACGTTTTCAACCACAACTTATGCGAATTGGTTGGACCGTCTGGTCTCAGGTGCACAATCACGAGGCTTTGGCCACCCAAGCCGATTCTGCCTTTTACTCTCGCCATTTGTGCCTAGTCAACCTAAGGGCTCTGCAGGAGTGCTAACATTGGCATTCAGAGATTTGTTTCAAGCTAGAACATTACACAATACTGAGTCTCGCGTTTCGAATGTTTCTTCGCTTACCAGAACTCTGGTGGACGATGAATTCCCTGGCAAGTCATCGTACTCTTAAAAGCTACTCCATCATACTTGAAAGTACCTAAAACACCCTAGCCAAAACGTTACTGCTGCGACACTTTGGCCAACCTTCAACCTCCCACGGCGTGTAAGTCACGCAGACAAGAGGTAAACCAATTTGTCCCGAAATTGTTGACATACTAGCTCGAGGAAGTGAAGCTAATCATACCTCTTGATACAAATTTAAATATCCACTGTAGTCCAAACGTCTAATTACGAGGTTTACAGACATCAAGGCCCTACTTGAGAATCAATTAATGATAAATTTTAATCTACACAACTGATAGCAATTTCAGAACTAATTGGTAACTTGTTTAGTTCATAACAGACATTGCTGCTGTCGGCATCCTGATGCATCGACTTCGCGAACCCTCGGGGGAAAACTAAGAAACCGCCCCTTATTTCAACACGTTGCTGAAGCTCAGATTCACGAGCTTAAACGAACTTTGGAGCACTCCAACCTCATGATCAACAATTTTTCTCCCCGAACGTAACGGAATCGGGTTCGGAGATAAGTCTGCAAATCCACTCACCAAGTCAAGACATACCAGCTTCTCTGATGAACTTCACAGGGATTCCAGACTTGCAGCATCGATTGAAATAAGGGCAAGGAACTGGGTACTGGACAGATTTCCCACCACTCTGTAGTTTAAACCAACCAGCACTGTTTGCGAGCACATTCTTGCTGCTGTCATCAGCAATTGTGATCAGACTAACCAGCCTAATTATTACTAGTAACGTCCAGAAGCTTGCTTTAAAAATTGCATGGTGGCATATGTTGAGAGCCGGAGACATGGTGGAACCAATTTCAATCAGAAAAGAAAGGAGTACAGAATAAGCACTTTCTTAGAAAGAAGGATCAGTTCTAGTCCTAACTTAGAAGTAGATAGGTTATGGCCAGAACTCATGTGTCTCACAAGAGGTCGGGTGCAATTCTGAGCCCCATCACTATTCATCTCTGAGAGTAGAGATATGGAACGACTGTTAACACTAAGAATTCTAGCAATGTCGCTAATTCTATCTTTATGTACTTTAGTTGCAGTGCTTTAATTGAGTTGATAGAGATGTAGCTACTTTACTTTGTTGTTCTTGTGGTAGCCGAGATACTTGTGCTGGTTTTATTTCCAGTTAGGTGTTGGAGGAGAAGCAGACAACGCACAATTGGAAGTGGATTACAAAAGAGGCTCTAGTTTGCAACATCAGTCTCACAATCTTTGTTCAACAGATGACCTTACTTTATAAAGTTCTATGTTGTTAGAAGAAGTATTCAACCTAGAATATATTATACTCGCCCAAATTGTAAACGACAGATCAAAAGAGTGAGTGAGAGAAGGTATAAAAACTTTGCTACCAGGGTAAGGCTAAAGAGTCTCTAAAAAGAAATAATTTTTAGAATTTTAGTACGCTATGTTAAAGATCAGCTATGTCTTTGAGCCTCTTTAGAGCCTTTTCAAATTTATTATTATTTTTTTTTCTCTAAAATTTATTTTCTCCTATGGCTTATGTAAGAATATTAGCAAGCTATTTAAAAGTTCTAATAAAGTCTATAGTAATTTCTTTGTTTTTTATTTTCTATTGTATGAAATGTTAATCAATTTTAAAGTATTTAGTTATTTTGTAAAAAATTAGATTCTTTATCAATCTAATCGCATTCTAATTGTCTCACCATAGCCTAGTTGAATGTTAATGTCAAAAATCCAATTCTTGAATTAGCCTTTTAATAAACACTACTTTATATGTGCATCTTGAAGGAATCTTGTATTTAGATTCACAAGATGATCTTGACAATAAGCTTTGTTTTTATAAAGACCATAATATTAGAGTTTGTCAAAAGTAAAAAAAAAATATATATATGCACTAGTTAAAGTTTTCTTATTTAAGTCATTATAATAATTAATATTAGAAAATCTTTGAAAAATAGCTTTTTTATTCTTTGAACCAAAGATCTATAGAATAATAAAAAAATTGCCAAATAGCCAACTATTCTTTTGTCAATAATAAGATATTTTTGTTGAGGATTATACGTAAAATAGTTGGATAGAGATGTTAAAACCCAATATTTAGGTATGTCTTTTTTAAATAATGTAATTGATCAACAAGGATTTGATAGTCTTTAGAAATGACAAAATGAATGTTTTTTCTTTTGCAAAGACAATTGCATTTGTGTAGACATACTATGGTTGGAATATTTGGCAAGGATGGAAATGGAGTAATTTGTTTAATAAAAAACATGTCATATAAAGTTTGGATAATTTAAATATAAAATAATTTATATATCAATCTCAAATTCTTTATTTTATGGTAGCATTAGAAATCTTATTTTAAGCTATTAATTAATTATGGCTTGAAACTAGTAATCAAAAGATCATCTATAAAAATGACTTATATAATAATATAGGCACCTATGCATTAAAATTAATATTAAGATTAGTAGAAGTGTGTTAATGTATTATTACAAAATTATTGAATGAAATATATATATATAGAAGAGCTTGACTAAAAATATACTGAAAAATTTCTTTAAAAAATATAGATAAAAATTAATAAAATAGTAAAAAATAATTTAGTATTAATATTATCTTTTTATAGAAAATATATTCTATTTATTTTGCAAAGCTACAAAAAAGACAAAAAAAAGTAGATTAAAATATATATATATATATATATATATATATATATATATTATAGGTATCTTTAAGTAAAAATAAAGAATAGCTTTTAGTAAAGATTTTCGAAACATATATTCAATTAATATCCAAAGAAGACTAGTTGTGAACTAATATCAAAACCAAATCCTAAGACACAAAATTATGCACCTACAACAAATGTAGAATTGTTTTGTCGATCAAAGAAAAAGATTAAAAAACATAAATAAAAAATGAAAAATAAAAAATTATATAATTTCTTTGAGCATTAATTTTTAGTAATTAAAGAAAATAATGACTTTTTGAGAGTATTGCAAAGCTAAGATTTTTTTGAATATCTTTGTTTTCTATGAGACAAAAAATGAAATAACACTTGATAAACTTTATAAGTTTTATAGTAGATCTATAAATAAAAATTTGTGAAATTATAAAGATGATTGTATTAGATATATTTCAAATTTTAATTTAAATAGACAAAGGTTATCAAAGTTCAAGTGGATTAGAGTCTCAAAAATTGGTTTTTAAGGACTATTGAGGGTTTTTAGAATTTTAAGCAATTTTTTAGTTGGATTAAAAAAACAAAATTATGAACTAATAGCTGATTTAGTTTCTAATATTTATATAATTTTTTAAAGCAAGTAAATGGTATACAAAGGAGCTATTGATACTAAAAGATTAACATTAAGGTTGAAAAAGGAAGATGGTCAATAAATAAGAAAATGAAGAGCTTTTTCTCTTAAATTGTAAGTTTAAATTTCTTCAAATTTTGTATGTTTGTTGTCAAATAGAAGTTTAAAAAGTAAAAAATAATAATAATTGAGGTTAATGGTTAAATTAATAATTATTGATAATTAAAAAAATTTATACAATTTTTTTAGGATTTAATGAATATTTATTAAAATTTATTTTAGATTTGATCAAGATTTGTCAACACTTACTTAAAATTTTATTAAAATTTATTTAAAAATTGTATAGAGTTAGATTAGTTTCTTTTAGATTATTTAGAATTTTATAAGGATTTAAATAGAATTTATTAGGATTTCATAGGATTTTCTTTGTTTGATTAGAAATTCTTTTGAATCTAATTAGAATTATTAGAAAATATTTAAGATTTATTTGGAGATGATTGAGGAATGATAAAATATTTTTAGGATTTTAAAAAAGTTAATAAGGTATTTTTAACATAATATATTGTTAAATTTTGTTCAAGTTTGTCAAAAATTTGTTTTTAAATACCTTATGCATTATTTTTGTATTATAAATCTAATTTGAAAGTAAGACCAAATCCTTCCAAGTTCATTCTTAAGCTGATTTTCACATAGCACAATAACATTGTATGTTGCAAAATTTGAAATTTGCATATATTCTACTATTATCAAGGACATAAATCTCAAAGAAAAAAAATATACTCTTATTTCATTGAAAAGAACTTAGAAAGCCACTCAAAGATGATATAATATTGAATTAGAATGGCTATTGCTAAAAACAAGAAGACTAAAAAGTCTTAAAACAAGACTAAGGACTAGAAAGATATCAATAAGAGTGAAGAAGGCTTCACTCTTCCTTCCATATATACTCTTAACTAGGAACTACATGGTGATGTTCCATTGCACCTCCAAAATATGTTGACTTTGCAAGACACATATCTTAACTTACAAAGTAAGTTTTCTATATGTGCGCCACATAGTTACATTCTTTAGCAAGCTATCAACATGTGGTTAACTTATTGACCAAGTTTCTAACCTACCAATCAACTAAAAATATATTTAAAGTTAAAGCAATATCTATAAAACTTCTAGAAAGCTTCTCTAAAAGGTATTATGAAATTAACTTATTTTTATCTATTTTTATGTAATCATATAGGTATTTATTAGAATACCTATATATATCCATGATATTATCTCTCCTTCTAGAGATAAGTTTCATGAGGAGCAATCATCATATGATGATGAAATCCAAGATGTGACAAATTATATTTTACACATACTCTAATCTTTATTCTCTCCAAAGGTGGTTGATAGGTCCTCTCAGCCATTGATAGTATTTCATACCAAGGTGAGAAGACCACCTTGTTATTTGATTGTTCTTGAGGCCTTCGTAACTTCTTTCGAATAAAATATTTAGAACATTATCAAGAGTTGTTCCTATCTCTAATAAAATCATCAAATATCATGATTTTTTTCTAAGGTTGTGATATCAAACACATTGTATCTCAAAATCTATTTGAAGAAGGACATGTCATTCTTGAAGATCTTCATCTTAATTACATCATCTTGAAGATTGTAAAAATCATAATGACTTGTCTAATAAGTCAATAAATAAAAGCTCTTGAATTGAATCTATTTGTTGTTAGTTTTCCATCTCCTTAGTGTCACAAATACACAAAAACTACAAAAAATAATAGAAGGTAGAGTGTTATCTTTCTTTGATCTTATTTCTTTTATATCAAAGAATTTTTTATTTTTCATCTTGCTTTTGATAGATGCCATCAATAAAAAGCTTCAATTCTCTTTGTTGTATTTGCAAGATTTTTTGTTGGCTCTCATGTGTGTTTACTAATATCATATCCATGCTAATAAAGAAGATATTCCAACCTATTTTGGTATTTTCTTGAATCTAAGACTTCTTCCACCTCAAATTTTTTATTATTATTTTCTTCTATAGGAAGAAGTGGCATTTGTCTTCATTTCAAAATACTTATTGTCTAATATGGCTCAAAAAGGGACATGTGAAATATAGGATAGATCTTCATAGAATCCCATAGATATAATCAATAAGCAATAGGATTGACTTATTCACTAATAAGAAAAGGTCCAAGCCTACGATAATCTAACTTGTCACAAAGATCAATAGTCTTGATATTGCAACAAAGTAACTATATCTTATCACTTATGTTAAATTGTGGTTGTTTCTTATGATATGCATGTACATTAATTTTTTGTCGTTCTTGAGCTCCCTATTACTACGGCTTCAAGATTCATATCCTTGATAGTTTGATAAGAGTACTAATTTACTATTTTTATCTTGATTTAAAACTGAGCAGATTACTCCACTTGTATTGTTGTATTTTGAAGGTTGTGGACTACCTACTTTTGAACAAATAATTTTATTTTTTAACACTGATCTTTTTCTTAAAAAAAGTGGATTATCCCTCTTTTTAGAAATTTTCATTTGATATTAGAGATTGTAGATTATCTTCTTCTAATTTAACTTTTTGAACTTGTTTGAGTTGTCTTTGAAAGAAAAAATTATGGATGCTACTCTCCGCAGAAGTGAGAATAGATTTTATAAATTACCAGTCTTGTAAATGTTGACAAACTTATCCATAAGCAATATTTGTCAAGCTATACATATGTCTCTAGTATTTTGGTATTATTTCTAATATAACTAGCATGACTATTGCTTATATTCATTTGAGCAACAAGCTTTTGAATTATTCTTTATTATATTATATTAATGGTATGTCATCTAACAAAGGTATTTTGTGAACTAATTTCAACTTATTGGCCTTATATATTACTTGTAATCTCTCAATTTGAATCTACCATCTCTAAAAGCTAAAAGGTTCTAAGAAAAAGTAATATTGACTTAATGAACTATTCTTGATTAGAGGTCTAATACTATATTAAAAATTGAAGACATTGTAGAACTAATTTTAATTATATATATATATATATATATATATATATATAATACAAAGAGAATTATGAATGCTACATCCTTAATTGATATTGCTATATTCCATGTGACTTCTTTATCAACAATTAGCTAATAATATGTCTCTTCTTTTTTCACATTATTTTCTTTTTTTGCTTTAAAAAAAAAGTAGTTGAGAAGGAGACAATGAATATTTTATTAAAAATATAAGTTGTAAGCTATTTTTTTCAAAAAATATATATTTTTCCTTTAAAAAATTAAATAAAATTTATATATATGTTAAATTTTATTTGACTACCAAAAATACAAAAAACTAATCTTTTTGATTTAGTCTATTTTTTGGTCAATATTGGGATTAAATATTAGACTACCAAATATTTTCTAAAAATAAAAAATACTTATCAATTGAGGATGTAGCATTAACAATTAGGAATATAGCAATATCAATTGGGAATGTAGCATTAACAATTAGGAATATAGCAATATCAATTGGGAATGTAGCATTAACAATTTTTTAGTACAAATTAAGTGACTTCTTAGAGAGAAGGAATAGTGGATGAAAAAATAACTCTGCTGGAATGATAAGTTGAGGGCAGGCCTTAATCATCTTAACTAGCATACATCACTTAGAACTTATTAGTGCAGACAAGTAGTTTGTAATGAACATCATCAAATGATCGTTTAAATTCTTCATTGCAAGATATGAAAAGGGCGGTCACTTATTTTTATCTGTCTTTCTCAAAGTTGTAGCTTAGGACAACAAAATCACAATTCATGTCCAGGTTACAAAAAGAAACGCACAAAAGACCAATTAATTCAAGCCTCGTGGGTCAAAACAGACTGCCTTGCTCAGAAGCTCTTTTCAGGCCTTTTCACACACAGGAAAACCTGCACATGGCTAGAATTGGCATGAAAGACAGCACTGGCTTAATAATTTCATACGGCAGCCCGCTCCACAATCCCTCTTTCAGAACCACCACCCATTGGCTTACAACTGTTTACGTAACGAGGAAAGATCTGAACTTCTGCGTTACAATCATCCAAATTCACACGAACTTTACAGATTTTCAGTAATGTTGCCTCATGGCTGGAGAGCCCTAGAATGAAACCAACCGTTGTTTGCACATATGAATCTTCATGACCGAAGAGTATCTTTGTCACCATGCCGAAGTCAAAGGTATAAACAAACCTTGCATCGTCAGCAGTCCATTGTCACAGAAATTTGGATTACATGGCCTCAAATACTCGCTGATTTATAAATTTATAAATCGCCTTCAGTGACGGGCATAAACCACGCGAATGCATACCCGATCCACGTCAGGCATGTGTGAGGCCCTGGTGGCGTGGAATATTATATTGCTCAATGATTTCTAAAGAAGGTTTGCGCTTGAAGCCGGCAGTGAACCAGAGTACTTCACTATCTCCCTGCTTTGCGTCGTGGTTTGAAGCGTGACGCCCCACGTTCGTTGATAAGAAGGTTCTTTATCGCCCTATCACGGTATTACGACTATTTAATTTGTCGTATATTCGAGTTCTTGGAGCATCTCCATCTTTGAGGAAGTCTTGTTTCTTCTCATATTAGATGTCGATCGGATTGTCTTGTCAACAGGCGTGTTTCGGTGGAATCATCGAAACGACAGGATGATCCGTGAGTACTTCAGCATGTATTTAGCTTTTGATACAGACAATCAGGAGCGTTTTGACGCGAGCGGACGCCGAGATGAGCAACACTGTGTAGATATGGTTGTCAGATTCTGATGGTTCCACATGCCAACAACCCTTGTCTACTACAAGTTAAATGCCTATCTGGCGACTTCTTGACTTCAGATGAGGGATGTCGGCTTGTGAAACTAGCAAATCTTGGCAATCGTGAGGGGGGGGGGGGACGCTCTTAACGGAATACAAACACGGTCAAATGCGTCGTGGGAATAATAACAACTAACCAAGATTAATGGAGTAGGCTGCAGTTGCAACGGAACTCTCATTACCATCAGACCAGTTACAATCGTGTGCCATGCTGCGTCACGGCGTCAAAAAAGATCTCGCATGCTTGATAGATGGTTTCACTGGAACATACACGCCTCACATGTGAAGTAACGTAGCTAAACGCTGTTGAGTGCGATTTCAACATACTGTAAATGGGCATCAATAGATGATATCTCTACCTGTAGTTAAAGCGGACAAGGATTTTTCTTTACCTACAAACTGAGTAGTTCGAGACATTGTTCAACTGTCATGGAATAGTTCTATCTTGACATTGCAGTGCGCGGTCATTCAGCGTTTGATTGCAAGAGGATTTTGGCAATCCACAACTCCCACCGGGACTCTCCATTCGACTATCAGACAGATAATTGAGATTACAACTGAAATGCGAACAATGAGATCTCCATGCCACGATCAACGCCGAGTTCTTGGACGTGGCTCTCGGACGTGATTTGAGCTGATCTAGATTTTATTGGCGTACACAAGAGCCAAATCTCCATCGGAATCATGCTACAACATCCCGCACTAAGTCGTAGAGTTGCCATTGAGTAGGACGAGAGTTCATGTAATGCTAACTAACTTCTTTCTCACCTGTGCCTTTTCACAAGCTTGTAATGTAAAACGAAGTAGCACATGAGGCGGTACATGACCGCAAACCCGGCCATGATGCCAACATTGACCCACTTGTTCTCCTTGTCAAGAAACATATTCTCCAGCACATTCTTCCCGGTAATGAGACATTGGCCACCATACTCCGGGCCAAAGCACTTGTCCGCGACGTGAGTGTACTCGTTGATCAAGAGCGCGTTCAGGGGATACTTGAATAGCGAAAGGTAATGCAGGAAAAGCCAATAATTCGGCATGTAGTCTTTCGCAATGAAATACCCCGAAAACAGAAAGAACGCGCCCATAATACCAGTCACCCACGTATTGCCCATAATGAAATTTGACACTAGCGCACTGAAGAAGGAGACGAAGGAATTCGCCGATACTAGTACGAGCCAGAGTGTGAACAAAAAGAAGAAAAACGCATCCGTGTCAGGCGCTAACCCCACGAGGTAGTAGACAGGCCCGGCGTACATTAGCGCGATGAGGAACAAAAAGGGGAGGAAAACAAGCGTGCTGGAGACGACGTAAGACGAGACTCTATAAGCTCCCCGCCCTGTTTCTCGCTTCAAGATGAGACGCTCCTCGAGAAAGATGGGGAGCACTTCAATGGAGGATGTGAGGAGGAAGGTTAAGGTGAAGGCAAGGAATCCGACTCGCTTCTGTAGTCCCGGAGTACCGTAACCCATGTGGAGGTAGATGGTGCCCAATCCACATCCTGCTCCCACAGACTGAATCGTTCTTGCGTAAAGCAGCTGCTTAGTTCGAATGACATTCTTGACGAAGCGGTGAGCAAGAATCATAATCTCCGTGCTGCTTGGGTTTGCGAAGTGGAGTTTGACGTTTTCGTCGGGTACTTCGGCATTCTCTGAATCTGTAAGCGACGGTTGCGTACCGAGTAGGTTCTGAGCTGCAGCACGGGCGGGGTCAAGTTCGAAGAGCTCCTGGAGGGAGAGAACTGGAATGTCGGTCTTGCCTTGAATGGAAAAGATGCTGCTCCTGTCGACATCAAGGGAGTCGATTGAGTCGATGGCGTACTCCAGGACGTTCACTTGAGGAGGAATCTTGTGTCCCGTCGCTTGGAGACGCTGGGCAAGAAGCTCGAGCGTGCCATGGTGTACCACTGCGCCGTGCGCAAGCAACAAGATCGAATGGAACAGTTGCAGAAGCCGGTAACCCGGTTGATGAATGCTCAGAATTATAGTGCGCTTGTGGGAGACCGCCATGGATCGCAGCATGCTGCAAACGTGAAGTGCAGCTGCGGAATCTAGCCCCGAAGTGGGTTCATCAAGAATCAACACGGCGGGATCATGGATGACATCAACCCCAATGGAGACGCGACGCCTTTCTCCTCCAGACAATCCATGGACATTCTCGTTGCCGACGCGGGTGCTTGCAACATGACTTAAACCAAGTTCTGCCATAAGAGCTTCGACTCGCGCAATCTTCTCACTGGTTGGGACCACGCTCGGAAGCCGCAGTCTCGCAGAGTAGATGAGCGTCTCTCTGACGGTGAGCATGGGGAAGAGCGCGTCGTCCTGCATCACATATCCACTAATCCTGCGAAAATGCTGCATATCCATGGGTTGTCCGTTCACGAGGATGCTGCCAGAGCCCGATCCAGGTTTGATCCTTCCAGCTAAAACCTCGAGCAATGTGGATTTTCCTGCTCCGCTCGGCCCCGCGACCGCCATTACCTCACCCGGCTTCGCTTCGCAGTTGATGTGCTTCAATACGTAGTGGGATGGCTTGGCCTTTAGGGAGGCCCACTCTGCCTTGATCGTCTCCCATGCCCCCTTGGGATCCTTAGGTTTCTTGATTATTTTGTATGAAAGATCTTTCAACTCGAGATAGTATGACTTCGACCGCGAGGGCGTGTCACTGGGTGAACAAGCGACTGCTACCTGCGAAGCTTTGACGTGAGGATTAGCGCCATACTTGTTCTTGATTCCTGTACACACACCATCGCTGCAATTGCAAACTACCCGATTGTAACGAGGTCCTTCCCTCCTTCGTTCGAAGTCCATGGTCAAATACCTCCTGTTTAATTATAGTGAACTTCCTAACTTCCTTGACTCTCACCAGCGGTTCTCATGCACATTTACATTACACCCCAGATTGAGCAAGAGCGTCAAGAGGGTGGTGTTCTTCGAGGGATTCAACTTTTAAATGTCACCGGCCATGGCAACCGCGATGTGCCCGGCTTGAATCAGTTTTTGGTCAGTACTCCCTGACTTTTCGAAACGCGTCATTGTGATTCCCTTCCAATGCTGACGCAAGCTCTAACAACAGAATCTCTTAAACCAGAAAGCACGGTTGAGGTCTTTGTTGAGAGCTTCTGCTGCTAGCTTTCGTGAAAACGTCTCCCTCCCCTGTTATCAGGATATCAGGGCGCTCACTTCGCTCTCAATCTGAGAAGCATGTGCCGATCATATTGAGCTTCAGTACTCGAACGCAGAGAGGGAACTGGCAGCACTTAAACCCAGCAAACAAACATTGGTAAAACACATAGCCATCATTGATGAGCCCACAGATATCTAAAACAGATTATTGGCACCTCGCGGGTTGAAGAGAGCATGTGGGGTTTGGAACTCGGCAATGTGGGTAGGATTGAGCTCGGAATGACTCAACAAAGAGCAAATGTTAGAAGCTTAGCTATGTTAAAAAGGGGTCTGAGCTCGCAAGGATTATCCAACATATTACAATGCAGGAATACTGGAGACAGTTACGACAAAGAAGTTGTTCTTCGACTGTAGACCTCACACAGTCAGGATGAGGGACATGCATTTTTCACCTGTTTCAAGAGTTCGATGAGCTGAAATTATGGTGTGGTTGCCGCCGAAACGGCTGCACTTCACCTCAACGAACGAGTCGCTTCAGAAGGCTTGCTGTGGTTCCATGGAAGAAAATTAAGCAGCGACCGCACCAGCTCACAGCACATTCAAAGTCTCGCGAGCAACAGAGAGTGTAATACCTAGGCGGAAATTGGTAAGCACGCAAACTGGTGTTCACATTGCTATGACCTACAGACTGCCAGGAGGTGTGAGGTCATGACAGAATGCCAGGACGTAATGAGCGCCATGCCAGCTAACCATCAAATGCATGTTGCGACCCAAGACAGGAGAGTGATGGCACCCTGAATCATTTTTGAATCTCCTGGTATATACAAAAGCAGTAGAGATAACATTGAGATTCAGCAATCGATCGACCGCAGGTGGCGATGGAGAGAATGGACCATCATACAGTGGATTTTTCTCTCAGCTCCTCCAGATCGGTGCGGTAGCTACTTGCAAACTCGAGCTGAAAGTTCTGGATGAGTTGTCAGCGGGAAAGCGATGGAATGGTGGCAAGCTAGGGGTGGCAGACGCGCGACAGGAGGTAGGTGGCTGTTGAAGCACTCGTATTTAATGTCAGCTGGTCCTTCATGAATGCCTTTCTCTGACCTCTGAGGCGGCATTTATTCTCTTCAGGAGCTCTATGTACTTCGTCATTATGCTCTCCTTCAATTATCCTTGCACCAGCAGGCCATCAGTCTCCGAGTCCACAACTTTTTATCTAAATGGTGTACTGAATGGCGTACTGTACATATACTTGTTTTGAGGAGTAAATAACTCATTCAAACCAGGTTCTTTTAGGCTTTGTTACGAATGACCTCAGCCTACACACTTACCTTTGAATGCAATGAATTCGTGCAAATAGTTGTTCTGTAATAGAACAGCTTGAAGAGAGCTAAATTCTTCTGCATTCTCTAGTTTAATTCAAGTGACGCTTTAGAGTGTCGTGACAGTACAATGTCGGGTAGTTCATTACTCTTACCAGTAATTACTTACCTTTGAGTTATGGTTCAACAAACTTAGGTGTAACCAGGTCCAAGGTTTTTAACACACATTGTATTCATTAAATTTGCATCTTCTTCTGCTGCTGTTCCTGTTTCTTCTTTTTCTTCCAGCGCGACCAACGGGATTACTGCTATTGTGAAATACTTGCCAAATGAACAAAGTATTCTGCAAAATGATGTTAGATAGGTTCTTGAGGTTGGTAAAGTTGTTTCGGCAAGTTCTTTGTAGGCAAATTTATGACACTGAAGTATGTCAGGTTTGAATTTTTGACCGCTTGATATCTGTAATGTATAGGGACATTTCAAAATATGCAAACCCATAAAGATAACTTCCAAGGCTGCTGAGACTTTAATGGATCTATAAGTGTATGAAAGATGGAAATAATTCCAAATGGAAATATGATTAATGTTTTTTTAATGTACCCTTGAGGATGTATTGATCTATGTTGAGTAAATGGATTCCAGGCTGGAGTTTTCAATCTTGTTATCCTAAACTTTTAGATTGTTCATAACAAATAATGTAATAGTAAACAGCGAAGCAATCAAGGATAATTCAAAACTATATAGCTTCATAAGTACAAGAATGACATCAACTTACACAAATTTTGCAACTAAGGGACATGTAACAATATGATAGTTTTTTTTTATTGTGGTTCCAGAATGTTAAAAACATTTTTGCTCCAAATATTGAGTGCAATGTGTACATTGTGATGCATCTTCATTGTTATATCAGTTATATTCAAACTATTTTGAGAGATTTGAGAGATTTTTGTTCTACTCCTCATTAGTTATATGAAAATATTTGTAAAACATTAGCAACTTTTATGGTCATAAGACATAAATATAGAGAAAGAGAGAAAATATCTTGAGAATGATACCAAAAATCACTTTGTTTCTTGAGTATTTAAATATAAACAAATCATAACATAGGAAATAATATTTTATATACAAAAAATTTAAGAATAAATACAATAATATATATATATATATATATATATATATATATATATATAACCTAGCTCTAAGTTAATTTAAAAGGATTGGTCTAAATCATTGTCAAAAAATAAAATGTTTTTTTGAATATTTTTTTAAATTCTATTAATAGACTTAAGTAAATATGTAATTCTTAAATAATAATAAATTTAGAATTACATACATAATATATAAATTGAAATATGTAATTCTTAAATAATAATAATAATAATAATATATGTTCATAATTAAAAATAATTTATTAATTTCTAAAAATATTTTTTCATATTAATAAACACAACTAATATGCTTTATGTTTAAATACTTAATTTTATTTGTATCTATAAATATAGTACAAAACTAACCGACTATAACTTTAATTGCACATAACAATGTCATTACTTATAGTTATAATCAAATTATTTATAATAAATTAATACTAAAATTAGTTATAACAAAATAAATAAATTTTTTTAAGTAATATTTTAAAAAATATTTATAAATTATAGATATATTAAATTGAAATTTAATTGTTTAAATCAAATTACTTTATTTTATATTTCTAATCTTGAATTAAAAAATAAACAGTAGTTTTAAATATACACAAAATTTTATTTCAAAAAATAAAGATCTATTTTAACATTTAAATATTTCTTTTAAAAATTATATTGTATTTGTTATGCAAAAAAGTTTTAAAATAAAACATGCTAAATTTTAAATGTTCCTTTTTACAACCAAAGTCATTGTTATTGATTATAAGTGATATACTTATAACCTTTGTTTTATACTAATTATAGAAAATATTATAATTTTAATAAGTTTAACTTTTAAAATTAAATAAAAAATTAGTAATAGCTTTGGCAAGTTATTAGCTAAAATGTTATACAATATATATATATATATATATATATATATATATATATATGTTAAAGTATTTTTTTCTAAAAAGATATTGTTAATTGTAAATTTTAAATATATATATATATATATATATTTTGTAACATTAAGACTAATTGTCTTTGTAATAAGTTGGATTATAACAAATTTAAGTTATTTTTAATCTAAAATAAAATAATTCTGAATAAATATCATTTATTATAATCTGAAATTTCATTATTACTTATTAATTAAAGTATCTCAAGAATGATAGTATTCTTAATTATTTATTGGATTAAAATTCAAAAAAATAAATAGAAATAAATAGAGTTATATTAGGTTAATAATACATTCTTTGTGAAGGATTTTAAAAAATATACTGATATAGGTTGGATCTATAAGTTTCTATGAATGTATCTTCTGGTTATAATGAAATTCTTATTTATTTTTATAAATCCAAGAGACTACTAAAAAAATGTTTTATAAATCAAATGTTTGTCTTTAAAATTTAATAGTTCTTAAAAATCTTCTACAAGACTTATTTTATCAACTAGTATATATGAAAGAAAGAGTAAGATAATCCTAGTTTTATCAATGTCTTTCAAAAGTTTTAATTTTAATTTTTTATTCTTTTCTACTTTAAAAATTGTGCTCAATCAAATGGTTTGAAAAGTATTGAACAAAAAAAATTGGTTAGTTTAAAAAATACCAAAGAAAGATGGCATGTTTCGGATGGAAGGTTGCAGTGGTAGTAGAAAAACTGTGGTGACAATAACAAAAATATACATATATATATATATATATATATATTTTATATACATATACATTAATATAATTTCAAAAAATAATATTCTATTCTCTCTTTTTATGAATTAAATAAAATATTGAAATATACCCCATTAGATGAATATATAAATAATGAAATATATTATCAAGTCCTGTGAATATAGAAGTAAACTCAACATCAAGCACTATTTGAAAAGCTCTCAATTATATTTGCAAGTAATTGTCCTGTGACAATGGAAGCCCTCACAGAACCTGATAAAAGATGCCAGCCTCGATGCAAATATCTGTGTGTACAACATCAGTTTTACAGCCAAACTCCCACCATGATGGGTGCCATTGTGCCTTAAATGAAGGGTACTTAAAGGCATTTAGGGAGCACAAAATCAGTACTAATTCCTCTTCACACTACATGTGGCTAATTCTTCTGGTAGTAAACATTGTACCAAGTTGTTGCATGGATCAAAAGTAATAAACAAACTCACAATAATAATAATAATAATAACAATAATTAAGAATTAAAAATCAAACTGGGTTACAATGACAAGTAGGCCAAAACCCAACTACATGATGTCTTTGTTGAAACCATGAGAGCCAATGTCAACATTGAACATGATCCTGCAGGTACAGAATTTGTACTGTTTTAACTTTTCTTTTTCACACAAAAGTATAACTTGTTTGGATATTTCAAGACATTTGTAATTTATAAGACATGCACAAATATGAGGACAAAGTCTGTTGTATGTACTGTAGTGATAGAAACTGATTCTAAATATGTCTGTAGGTGTTCAACCATCCCAGTTGCCATGGTTGAAAAGTAGATGTTGCACATTCATTTATACTGCTTTTTGAAGGGCTGTGTGGGGGCTATGTCTTTAAGTTCCTTAGTTCAAGTGATGAGTTCATCAACCTGATTTTTTCTCTCTTTTTTTTTTTTTTTTTTTTTTTTAAAAAGTCTGTCTTGTTAAGAAATGAGATAATGACATTGCAAATTGGTAGATTGTACGCCAATTGAGTTGGTTTCATTGCAATCTCAATCACATGATGCTTTCATGGAGTTGAGATGTTACTAAGCATGTATTTTCACAAATAATAAAATAAATAAAAAATAATGATAACTTAACTTTGCAGTCTATCTATGACGAAGATTTAACTGTGTTCGATATTTTGTACAATTTCAGTTTAATTCCATTCTTAATACACGTTGAACCTTCAATCTTATAACACATAACAATATAATAAAAATATGTAAATTTTTTTTACAGTACCGAATAGTATACATTGCCAGTGCAAACCAACGGCAGTGCATGAAATACTGAAAATAGGAAGAAGAGCTTATTATTATGGCAGTATAGTACGAGACTTTCCTCATCAAACTTGGCCGTCGTTGCAGATCCTCAAACATGTGTGTTCACAGCGAGCAACATTAACCAAAGCATGCAGTTTTGCAGACTGAGTAGTGGGCTTCGAGCATAGCTTGTGGAAGCAACCCCATCTGATGAAAAGCTTGAAGAGGAAGAGGGTGTTTCTCTGTCAATGCACCACCTCGTCGTGCTTTTGTAGATGTTTTCTTTTTTTGTCGTAGTGCCACAAAAGTACTAGCAACTCATTCATAGAAATCACCTCTGGAATCGTCTATGGGTAAGAACCTTCAAAAAGGTTGCGTAGTTCAGAGATTCAGCAACAGTCTGGTGAATCCAAGCAGTCTGTGCACGAAGATCTGGCTTAAATTCACCGAGCACTTCATGCTTTGCAAACGCTTACTGGGTCACGGATGAACCTCAGCTTGTGGACTCATGGGCGACTACGCAAAATATTAGACCAGAGTGGCGAAGAATCTTAATCCTAAATGAGGTCCCTTTGAATGCAAGATTTCATACACTTCCACCGAACTGGAAACCTTGTTGATCGTTTGATATTTGCTGGGTTCGGCGTTGCCTACTCAACCGCCAACATTGAACGATTTCCAAGATGATGAACGCTGCTACCAAGATGGCGAGGAGGGTGACAGTTCCAACTCTGAAGGATTGTTCGGAATGCGCCATGTTGAGACCCACGAAGATGTTAACGATGGCTAAGAAGATCGCCAAGCTACCCACAAGATGATGATACCAGTTCCAGTACATGCGCACCTTTGTTTCCTTTTTCGGGCGCCAGAACACCGCAAGAACCTGCAATCCGCGAGAAGGGCAAACCGAGAAAGATTAGTTGCAATTGATCTGCGTAAAAGGGCAGTGAATTCGAAGTTGGAATTGTAGGTAAAGACAGGAATGAAAGATTTTGTAATGCCACAGTACCTGCAGAATCGCCAGGGCGAAAACGAACAACCCGAGTCCTCGGTGTGTTGCTAGACGCGGTGGTTGCAAATCCTTCGCCAACTGAATACCGAGAACCACTCCAGCAATTATGCAAACGAAACCAACGAGTTGGAATGTAGCATGAAGATAGAACCATGCTGGATCCCAGGCACGCGCGTAGCGAGCTATTAGGATTCCAATTGGCAAGATCAATCCCCACCCTAGTATCTGAAGTGAACCATGGACTTTAGCCTTTTTATCAAGTGCGGCTGCGCCATTTCCTTTAGGGCCAACACCTGCGGATCACAGGACATGGATTGATTCATAAATAGTCCCAAACATATCGACGTGCATCCAATGAGCCCATTTTACAGCACAGTAAGCCACTGAGGGAAGAAAGATACCTGTTGCAATCTGCGCACTAATGGACCTTCGATCAGTGTGTCTGTTGATTGAGCCGTCTAACGCCAGGGACCCGTATGCAAGAAGCAGGGAATCAGTCTTTGCCGCTGATTTTGTCAAATTCACTTGGAAGGAGACATACACCATGTTACTAGCTGCATCGAAAACTCCTTCAGGAAAACCTCCAACAAAGGCCAGTGCCCCAGTTTTCTTCACCACTTGGCCTGTACTCCTGCCGTTGAGACTATACTCAGTGACGACGGCTCCCTTGGAGAAGTTCAATGTTGTTATCAATGCAGTGGAGCCTACCATTTGACCGTTCGGCGAAAATCCAAACCCAATCCAGTTCCCAGCTGACAAAGGCGCTGCCAGAACCATGGTTGTGACTAGGGTCACATTATCTTTCAAGGCCTGCCAACGAACACGAGTGTTCAAAAATCAGACAACAGCGGAAGGTTTATACCGAAGCCTCCAGCATATGTAAAAGCGAAGGATATTAGCAGTGCGTGGTGAAATACCATAAGCAACCAACTTGGGTGTTGATCTAAATTTGTCGATAGGGTTATCAGATCGAAATTCAGGTCTTAAGAGTGCTGCACTACAGCAGCAAATGCAAGTAGCTTTGATCTAACTACTCTATTGAAGTGTTTCAATCTAACTATTCTATTGAAGTGCTAGCCCCATATAGAGCAATAGTTTTTTCCAATGAAGGACCTAGTGCGATTGATTGAAGAAAGAGGCAAAGACCACGGATAGTGCAGACTGTGTTTGTGCCTCCAATGCGAGTCATTTTGCAGGATCACACCAAAATTGAATTATCGCCGTGCACTTGGCTCAACCCATAGATGTCGAAACGTTGGCATGATTGCCTCTAAAACAATTGAGTTATAGCAAGCGATGTTGCTATAGTGTATTTCAAATGAAAACGCGCTAACGGAGAGACAAGAAAAACCGCGGCAACAAAATATTCTGCCCATAATGGGTATGAAATCTTGTGATAAGTTTGAGCCTGCCAAAGAAGTGGAAGTTGAAATTTTAAACAGAGGGAGCTGAAACAAGTTTGAAATGATAAAAGAAGAGCATACCCATATGTTAAAATCAATCGGTCCCTGGAGTCGAAAAGATTCGCAAACCAGGCTTGTCGTCTCAAACTGTGAAACTTTAGTGCTTAAGTCCGCTCCACAACCTCCGCCTTGCCCACGCCCTTGGCCGTAGATAGGAAGAGCAAGTGATAAGATTGCAATTAGCACACACAAGGACCATGTCGCCGGAGTTGAACCTCTAGAACTGCAACTAATCCGTGTCGCTATCGCCATGGAGGATGACCAACGGCACTGTTCGTCGAAGTTCCAAAGTCACTCACGCAGCTTTGGCGAACCCCAATCTTCACGTTTTGTGTTTCAAACCTTCTCGTACCTACAAGGTTATGACACAGTTGATCAAAATCTTCCCTGCCACTCTCCACCAAGAGCTTAAATTCCATGAAATTATCTCCACAACACGATTTGGAAGAGTACAGAAAGGAAAAGCGTGGAAGGTAATGGTCGGCAGACAAAGAACACATAAGAAAGCTAGTCTTCTACACAAAGCACTTGCAACCCTTGTGTAGAGAACAACGGCGTTACAAGGGAGGATGGATTTCTACAAGTGCAGCATAGTGGACTAACTTTCCAGCACGAGAGCTCGGCAGCAGTGGGACGCGTCTTAGATCACCAAAGCTGCGAAATGCCTACCCTACAGTCTCATTTGATCCACCACTTCTAATATCGACCTTCAGATTTGGAATAACGGAAGGCCAGGCTACAGCAGTGGTGATGAAGTGGCTGGACTCACCAGCACGTTGTTGCAAAAGCGGGTAAAACTGTGTCGGCTACCCCTCCTCACTCAACTTTCACATCAGCTTCCAAGAAAAAACTGGTCCACATTATGGGAGTTGGGCACCAGAAAACCAAGTGAGAGGAGTGTGGAAGAGTGCACAGTTTACAACGATCCCACCACGTAGATGCCAAGTTGCCGGAGATTCTGTTTCCCAGTAGCACTTGGAACACGACCACTCGTTAGTGAAATCGCTGTGAAATATAACCCATTCCCCATCAAATGTAGGCTCATCACACGATTCGAATCGAACGAAGTCAGTGCCTATGAACTTGGTATTTTAAAGGATGCTTGGGGCCGTAGCTCCGCGGTCTTGGTGCTCTAATACAAACCGCTCAGCAATTGAGCTGAAAATGATCATGAAGTCTTCAATCATGGGCTTCAAAGTGGGGCCTCAGCATATCCGAATATATGTAACCTGTTCACATCGGCGAATACGACTGCAGAGTTGTGAGGTGTGCACTAGACATTACAACATGATGTATGCCGTGGTCACAACTCGCTGGCGTATTCCCCAATCTACCCCCCTGCAGGCGACGATTGACTTAGTCAAAAATTGCGGTAACTCACGCGCCAAACAAAGAAAAAAAATAAAAATAAAAATAAAAATCACGAGCTTGAAAACAACACACTCGGAGACTTTTGTCTGTTGTAGTGATGAATTCCAGGCTGCCAAAACCCCATGATTGAACTCAGTGTTTACCAGTGCCTTACGCCTCAGTTGGCTGACAAAATTTTCTCACCTACAGGACTTTTTCCTGATACTGGTGAGTATTCACTGTCCATGTAATTCCACGTATTCGTCTGCGGTCTAATCTCCGTTACTATTAGACTGGTGGGTACATGAAACCCAAACTATTATCTCCTGGTAGAACCCATATTGAAATCTGATGAGGGAGAGGGAATCCATAATAATAACAAAAGTTGTTATCAAATTAGTTTTGAAAAATCACATTTGGTTTATATATCAATATAGTATAAATAAATAAATAAATAAAAATTAAAAAACTATTCAATTTTATTAATTTAATTTTATAAATTATAAATTAAAAAAATAATCAGTATAATCATATGATTTTACTTTTTTAAATCTTTTCTTATTCTTTTAATTTATATAGGTATTTTTAATATTTTTTGGAGAATATTAAATAGACTAGTGTATTTATTAAATAGATCCACTCTTAATAAAGTTTATAATAATTATAATGAATGTGATTGGTTTTTATTGGTTGTAGATCTAATAGTAAAAAGGTGAATTTAGAGACTATTTTATTTTTTTATGATGGTTAATATGGGTGGATTGATTTAGTAAAAACTTAGATCTATTTAGTATATTTTTATAGTCTTTATATAGCATATTTGTGTAAATCTTAATTATATAGTTTTTATTATAATTTATTATTGTAAAATTATATATTTAATAATTTATTCAATACAATACAATATTCTTGAAGTAAAGCAAAAACATTCAATACAAGCATTTGTTTATGTTTGTATAATGTTGCTATTACCATCACAATTTTTTTTGCTATTATTATAACTTGCCACCCATCACAATTTTTACTAATACCACCAAAAGCTGCCCTAAATCCCAAAAATCTTTATAGAAAAATTATATATATATATATATATATATATATATATTCTTGAACTCCAATCCTAGACCTTGTTCTTATGCCAAGCAAATGCTCTAGAAGCAAAACAGTTAATAAAAATCAAATGACCAAGTTAACTCTCTTTTTTACTCTTCAATATCAAAGCCTTCTCACCAAACTTTGATTAAACAATCTCTTCAGTAGATCCCTCTTCATTAATGCTTAAAACTTTTGACTCAAAAAGCTTTGTAACAAATTTAAATACAGCCTTTGATTTCCAACTCCTCTATATTCTAGTGCCTCCCAATTACATTCCTCCTTCTCCCCTCAGTTTATTCTAGTTCCATCAAGTATTAATTAATAAATTTTACAGTGCAAGCTTGTGGGCAGATGAGGTCTACATATTTAACAACAACATTGCAGGTGCCAAATCTAGTAGCATGGATGCTGCAAAGATGGTCATTGTGCATTTGCTTGAAGAATTTGTCATTTCAAAGTCTATACAAGATGTAGTCACACAATATGATGGCACTGTAAGAGATGGTACAGATATTGTATAGTTCTGTTATGGAAGAGATAACTCCAACAACAACAAAGTATTATATAAATATATATATATATATATATATGCCACTTGTTATGGTATTCAGAGCATTCATAATTATATTATAATGTATAATATATTATAATTATACAATTTAGATAATATATTTATGATATATATAATTTATCTATATATTTAATAATAAAATAAATATCAAAATCAAATAAAATGATAAAATAATTGATGTTTAATAATTAAATGCTTAAAAATGAATAAATTAATTATTCAATTATTTAAATAAATAATAAATAAATATTTAATAATAATAAAAATTGAATAAAATTAAAAAATTGCTTCAACACGAATCTTATTGCAAAATATTTACAATTTCCTCCATACTCTAAAATCTACAATCAGTGTTCAGCAACACAAAATAGCTGCAATCCAAAAATTGAGTTTTGAAACTACACCTCTTTCAAAGTTAAATGATGTGTATCGGGGCTTCCTAACAACACAAAAACCACCACCACTGCTCCAGACTAGATCTCAAAAAATTCTTGGCCCACTGCCCAGTTCTTGCCAACCACCTGCACAATCCTGTGATCCACCCGTATAGGCTAATCTCGCGTCAATGAAAACACCAAGAACACTCAGAAGGGGGCTCCGCTACCCTCTTATTGCTCGCTCTGCTCTCTGCTCTCTCTCCGCCTTCGCACGTTAAAAAAACCCTCCTGCGAAATGAGCCCCTCTGGCGTTACTGCTGCGGAAGTCTATCCTGCCCCTGCAGTGAAGCCTCACGCAGTATCATCCACAGTGTGCCTTCATTTATTGATGTTTCCACATTCATCCTCTTCTGGCAGGAGATGCTCTTTACTCGGTCCTCCAGCCAATCTCACAACCCCAAATACTCGGACCACATCGTGGCCACATCCCACGATGAGGTTCCGAATTGGGGAACGAGCTAAATCTGACCTGGCGTATTAGAGTTGACGTGGAGGATGGAAGGGTGCGGAAGGGTGGAGAGTGGCATATGATCCCATGCAGGAGGATGAACACCCTTTCATGGCCATGTCTGTATGTACGAGGGGGTTCAGGGATCTCCGCAATCCCCCGCTGTTCATTCCCGCCCCTTTTGCCCTACTTACCCTTCTGCCCTTTTTAATTTATACTAATTTCTTAAATTCAAAATACACATTTGTCATGTATTATACTTTTATACATACAGCGATGAATGTAACCACAGAATAAATGATTTTGTATACAAGTCAGATCAATTGTATTCATTTGTATGGATGTTTTACAATTACTGGTAAAGAAAGTCAAACATGTGTTGTTATTCATGATATTTTTATATTCATGACATCTTAAATTATTTCATGTTATATTATGATCTTGCAATAGTGTCAAATATTTTAGTTTTTATTATTTTAATTTATATTGTATAAGATTTATATTTTTAAGTGTGTGCCTTAAGTATATAGCAAATGTAAATACAATTTTATATCATAAATAATTATATAGATATATTGCAAAACTTTATTGTTGTCTCAAAGTGTTTAGTTTATTTTTATATATATAAATTCAAATCATTTATTTAAAATTTACTAATGTTATAAATGTACACAGGCACTCAAAGCCAAATAAATTATATTTTGATTAACATTAAAACCAAATTAATACACCAGGTAGACCATTGTAAAGTAATATATTTAAAAATTATAAAAATCATAATTAAAAAAATCATAATTCTTTAAAGTATCAAATTACTTACAATAAAATCAAAAGACTAAAAATTTACAATCTTTTAATCTATGCATAATATATTATGCTTTATGATATTTTAATATAATTCTACAACAAAAATTAGAAAAAAAATAAAAAAATAAAAAATAAAAAAAAACTTATTTTTAATTTTATATCAAATTATCTATTTTTCTTTCTAAAATAAAATTTTAAATTTATTCTATTACTTCTCTAACACATTTTGATTATTTTTAATATATTTAATTGTATCTTACTTAATATAAAATACACTATATAAACCTACCAACAAAAGATCTTAGTATAGATTTTTTGTCTCTAATAAATGTGTGTGTGTATATATATATATACATATAATATTATAATACATAATAATATTTGTTTATTATTTCATAGAAAATCATATTTCTTAAAGAATTCTATAATAAAAAATATATCATTATCTAAAAAATATAGATTTAATAAATCATTAATTTTTAATTTTTTTTATTATATTTTATCTTTAAAGATATTTAATATAATAATAAAAAATTAAATTCTAATTATTATTTTTATATAATTATATTTCTTATATGTTATAATATTTTATTAAAAGAAAAAAATATAAGTATAAAATATCACATAAAACTATAAAAAAAATCGTTTTAAGAATAAATAGTTTTAAAATTTAGTATATAAGCTTGAAATTTAGTGGTTCTTTTTTAATAGATCACATTAGATTTTATTTTTTAACATATAAAAATAATTTTTTATCAATTTATTTTTAGATTAGATTATATATATAAATATTAAATTGACCAATTTGTTTAATAAATAAATCCATCCTAATACAACCATCATTAGAAAAATGGATCATCTTCAAAAACCATCATTATAATCATAGCATTTATCTTGATTTGTCTTGTTCTTTGTCTTTGCTTCATCCATTCTTAGATCTCATCTCAACCTCCTTTTCTTATTTTTTTTATTCATAATCTCTTATTTCATTATTCTTAATTTCTACTTCCCATGGTTGTATTATGAACATACATATTTAGTCCAATAATTATCTATATGATTAGATAGAAGTTAATAAAAGTAGATTAATTAGATAATATCTTATGGAAAAGCTTAATTGAAGCTTTACAAATGCGACTTTGACTTTATATGATAGAATAAAAACTATGTCAACAAGTCAACCATGTATCATATGTGTTGATAGCTTGTGAAATAAGTTAACTATGTGGTGCACATATAAAAAACTTGCTTTACAAGTTAAGACATGTATTTTGCAATTTGGACATATGTTGGAGGTTCTATAGAATGCTGCTACATAGCTATTAATTAGAGAGTATATATGGAGGCAAGAGTGAAGCCTTCTTTACTCTTGTCAATATTTTTTTAGTTATTAGTCTTGTTTCAAGAATTTTTAATTTTTTGTCTTTGGCAATAGCCATTATAGTTTAATATATTAT